TTGTTAGATATAGTATATTTGATCCTATATACCATTTGCACTGTATCTCATGACTCGTTGTTAAAATCTTTCAAGTTTCATATACTTTCAGACCTTAGACTCATTTCATTGTAACATATTTAAGATTATATTATTTTATTTAATTTCTTTGCTTAATGCAGCGCCTTTTAAAATTAATTTCCAGTGCTGCGTTTTCCAGATGCTTATATTGTTTATACCATATAAAATATATATGTATGTATGTATTTTTTGCTGGCTATCCAAGGCATTAACATAAGCCAACACGCATGAGGAACTAAAGCTTACACACAGGTAGTGGGAGTGGGAGAGCGACAAAACAGAGAAAGAGAGAGAGAGATATATATAAAGAGTGAGAAACTCTGGCAAAAAGTTCAGTTTGGGCTCGGAACTTGTTAAAATTTGACATGGCCTCTTATGATTAGCTGAATTATGCTTAATGCATTTGCATTGTGATAAGATCATACTGGAACAACTAGATCGCCCATACTACATATAAATATGCCTTACATGTATGTATGTGTGTATGTGTGCATATAATATCAGCTGAAGAGGAAGTTGGACGCTTGATAATCATGCCATTAAATCGTCAGCATTATAAATGCAAAAGCAGTTTCTTTGCAATTCCTCAGTCTTTGTGCCCCTCCCTCCGCCCCTCGCGGCCTTTCTTACTGCTTGAGTGGCAATTAGGCGAGAAAAAAGCTGAATTTTTCATTGGCTTTCAACAGCAACGAGTGTTGGCAAAGGGGCAGGTGCAGAGCGGTGCGGCCGCTGGGCAGTTGGTCATGTTTAAATTTGCATTTTAAATTGTATGCTCTAATATATTGTATATGCTTACATACATATAGTAATATATATTTCTGCTGCTCTCCCCCGCCATTTATTATTTATTGCTGCGAGTGCAACAAGGCGTATGCTTAACTTTATTGATAATTGGAGTGAGAAAAGGCGCATTCACAACTTTGAATGCAACATTCTTCTTTTCTTTTTTTCATTTTGTTGAATTTCTTTTTTTTTCGCAGTTAGTGAAAAACATGGACGTTGATTAATGCGATTTGAATGCATTTATTTACATTTCGCTGTGGCAGCAGATTCTTATATACCCTATGAATTGTAGGTAAATACATATATCAATAGTACAGATTTCATTAGGCAGATAAAAGTGCATCTCTCTTAGCTGAATAAATGTTATGATCTCTGTTTATGCCGAATGATGAATCAGTTGAACCAGTATAAACTTCGGTTAGGCGCTTTAACTTCTTCACTTCAGGGATTCCACGCCTTCTTTCCAATTTAGGCTCTTCATATATTTTCTAGAGTTCGCTTAATGCATTTTCATCACTTTACGAAATATGAATCTAGTTCGGACTAGAAGGCGTTTCACTTTAGTTTATCTCACTTTTGAGTATCTTATGTATATGTATGAATATATAATTGTAGTTTCTAATTTAAGACGATGCATTTATTATTGTTATATTATTAACTTACCATTCTCATATAAAATACATCAACTTCACATAGGGCACATTATGGCTGTCGTCCATTTTAGCAGAACATTTCGAGCTTTGGTTTTTCCCTCATTTAGTTTTGCGTTTAATAGTTTTGCATGGCGCCAAAAGGGCGTGACAAACGTTCAGATCAGCCCAGTTGAACCCTTAACATTGCAAAGCCACCCCATCAAGTGCACCACAGGCACCCATCCGTCACCCCCTCGGTCGCCGACTGACTCCTCTAGCCGGTCGTTTGTGGTTGAACATGCATTTAGGTTTAAGCGTGAACGATTCGCTATCATTAGTTGTTTGCAGAGTTTTGGGTGGCACATGAGGGTGCTGTACTGCGGGGGAGTGGGGAGTGGGGAACGGAGCTTGGGCAACGTGTGTGGGCGTCACATATATCGGTTACGAAACCATGCAGTAACACATGCACCCACACAATCCGAAACATATCGAAGACTGCAACCGCAAATCGAGAGTCAATTTCAATATGCCAAGACAGAAGCTCTCGGCGAGCGGGCCTGCGCCTAGAGAGGAGTGCGAAGAGGCAACTGCCTGTGGCAGTGACAGGCTGCTAATCGGTTAAATTAGCCGTGAAAGAATGCACAAGTCATCGGGTTACGTGGTCAACTGTGAGCTACACCCTCGCAACGTGAGAACTGGGTAAGCCAACTCGTCGACTCGTCGACTCGGCCGATCGAGTCGAGGCTCGGGCTCGACTGCCTGATTTATGATAGACGTGTGCCACTCGACTGTGTGGCTGCCACACTGTCCGCAGCCGTCAGCCGTAAGCCGTAAGCCAAAGCCGTATCAATATCAATGTCAACAGGTTTCGTCTTGTTACTCTCCTTTGCGATCCACCGATCCACCGATCCACCGAGCCCCCGAGCTGCTCAGCTACCAAGCTGCCAGCTTTATCTCTGCTCTTGTTGGGCCACACAGCAAGAAATGTTCGTTTGCATTGCGAAATGAATGCTTTTTTTTATGTAAATCGTATTATTTTCATGTTCCTTTAGTTTTTAATCTTTTATTGGCATTATTAGCTGATATTATTATTCGATTGTTATTACAGTTCATTGAAGAAATTGTACGAGCAATCGAATTATCTATTAATCTATTTCATATTATGATCGAGTATATTTAGCTATTTCTTTATCTTTCTTTCTTTCTGTCTCACTTTTTTCTTACTGTCACCTTTCCCCAGTCTCTCTTTATGTCTCTCTCCGAATCTCTCTATCTTGATTTCTTCTCTTTCTCTCTTTTCCACTCTTCTTTTCTCTCTCTCGCTTTATTTCTTGTTTTCACTTTCTACTTATCCGTATCTCTTAATACTTGTCGCTCTTTCTCTTAGCTCATCTGTATTTCTATTTTTATCTCAAATATCTCTTTCTTTTTCTTTTCCTCTATCTTCACTATCTCTTTCTCTTCAATCAGCTTCAAGTATACGTCTTAGAGATGTTAAGAACATAAATATATTTATTTAATATTTGTTTACAAAAATAATCGTCTCTTCGTTTTCGTTTACGTTTTTATTTTAAAAACTATCAATAGACTTGAATCAGAGGAAGTAGAGTCAAGTGTGGACCACAATTCATATGAAATTAGAATATGTTAAGCGCATTTACCTGGTACCTGAGGATAAAAGTCCTTACTTTTTGCTTTATCCACTCCATGCGATTTGGTTTGGTTTCGCTTTCGCTCGGAAAGCATATTGGATATTGTTTGTTTGCAGTGCAGATAGCCCGTGGGGCTCTCACACTCGCGCGCTCTGCTTGTCGACTTCAGTGGCTCCCTTTGGCCTCTTAATCATTGTTATTTGGAGCCATTAGTCGCGCAGCGCGGTTTTTGCTGCTGGTGTTTCGCATTGCAATTATGTTGACAATTCGGCAGCTGGGGCCGCAACTGAGGCCGACTCTGAGGCAGAGATTATGGCTGGGATCGTGGCTGGGGCCTGCCTTTGGGCGCTTATCATTAGGCGCAGTTTATTGAAAAAGAAATATCAACATTTTGGGCTGATTAATGGGTCCGCAGAGGCCGACAGGTGCTGCTCCTCTCTGCTCTGGCATCTTAAACGCTGGCAATTAGGCTAATGCCAAGGTTCGAATACCTCAGATCGTGAGATAAGTCGTCGCTCTGCGCTCTCTGTCCGTCCCAGCCCAAGCAAACAGGAAGCGCAACGTTTGTCCAATAAACGTCGCCCCAAAACGTTGCATATAAATTCTCAATTATCGCCCACGCCCCCAAACCGAGCAGTCCCTGAAGGAGTCTGCAATTTGCCACAGTTTGGTGGCGCATAAATAAAAATGTTTTGCTCTCTCTGTTCCTATTTAGACATCACAGCAACAAGGCCAGCAAACACCACAT